GGTCCTAACATGTATCATCGGAGGAAGCATACACATCTCAATTTATGTCTTATATGGATTAATTTCCTACATTTATATTTACCCAGATCTTAATTTTGATGATTATGAAGTCATTGGTTGGAAAGATTAATGAACAAAGAACTATAAAAATCACTAGGCTGGGAACAAGATGAAACCACTTGTTCGGAATTCAGATTTGGGATTATTGTTTGGGTTTCCAACATTGATCTTCAAGGGTTTCTAGGTTGATTTTGTTTAACTTTGATATGTTTTGATTTCTTCACTGGATTGTGTGTTATGTTGTGATATCTTTAGGGTAATGTAAACTTAATTTATGTCTTAAACTAGGTTCTTTGTAGAACTTGAACTATTTTCTATTACATAGGGGTTGGAGAAAAAAAGGATGTAAAACATGGTTAGGTTGAAAATGATTGTGGTTCTGCAAAGGGGTTTAAAGTTGTAGTGACAACATTTAGTGGTGGTAGATCACACTAGCAGTGGTTGGAAAGGAGGGTCGATGATGGTAATGTTTGTTAAGTTTTTTAATCACTCTTAAAACTGAAGCGATTGAAGTAGGTGGTGGTTGGTGGTGGTAACGGAAAGGAAGATATAGTCGGTGGGGAAAGGATAATAGTGAGTGAGTGAGTGGTGGGTGGGTGGGTGGGTGGGTGTGTGTGGTGGTGAGACCAACATTTTTATTAATTAATTCTTTTAATAAAATAGTTAATGAAAACAAAATTAAAAAAATAATATATATATATATATATATATATACATATATATATATATATATATATATATATATATATATATATATATATATATATAGGGAGAGGATCAAATGAAAACACCTAAAAGGTTGAGAACGCGAGAACAATTCTGGACCAATCAATATATAAGAACATACTAGTAGTTGTATATTTTAATTAAATTAAAATAAACTAAAATTCAATCAAATTCCCTTAAATTTAGGATCAGTTACCAAAAAAGAAATAAATATTAAATTTTTTATTTTTCTTATTAATGGAATATAAAAATCATTTTTACCAAAATTTATTTTAAAACTGAAAAAAATTCTTACAAAAAACAATTTTTTTCTCCTATTTCACACTTTTTTTTGTGTGTGTGTGTGTGTTAAAAAAATGAATAGAAATCGAACACCAAATTAGTACATTTGTATCATAAATGATTTTTTTTTCAAAAAACCTGATACTACTCCAATCACAAATAAATATACATCAATTTACAAGTAATCCAATTTCTTTTTTTAATCAATTGAAAATAAAAAGAGTGTAAAAATTATCATTTCTTCATAAAAAGAATACCTCTAATCATAAATAAATATACTCATTAACACATGCTTACACTGTTATTCTCAAATGAAGACAATGCTATTAAGAAATAAGTACCCTGTTATTCAGAATTGAATAAATGAATACCTCTAATTATAAATAAATACATTCATTCACTGTTATTCACAAATGAATACACTACTATTCACACATGAATGCACTGCTATTCATTCACTGTTATTCACACATGAATGCACTGCTATTCAAAAATAAATATACTGCTATTCGCAAATGAATACACTGCTATTCACACATGATACACATTATCATTAACTTTATCTAATACAAGGCAATCCTTGTTAGTCTCCAAATGAGAATCGAACAATACCAAGCCAAACAGCCCCCCTCTTCGTTGCGACTGTTGCTGCTTGATTTTTCTCTAGTTCGCTACTACCGACAACGAAGAATAGACCCAAAAAGGGACTCGCAGGAAATCAATTACCCCATTCACTTGTTTCCGTCTCTCCCTCTCTCTTCTTCGATCTGGCCAAACGTCGAGGGTACTACCTCCTTCCTTCGCACCTCACAACCGGATGAGAATGATCGAACCTTCGTTGCTTCTTCACGTCTTCGTTCTTCGGTCTCGTCGACCCCGGAGATGCCTCCCACATCGCGAATCTCTCAACGGAAGAACAGCAGCCACCGGACCCGATTTCCTTTTGCCTTCGTATTTCTTTCTTGACTGCGGTTGTTCGATCGCTTAAAGAAGAGAAGAGGTCCAATTTCGAGTTTTATAATTGATACCATTACCTGTGATTTTTTCTTGTGCGTGGTGTCGATCGAAGTGAAAGAAGAGTTGTATAGATTCGATTTTTGGGTCTGTGATTTTTGGGTCTGTGATGGTGTAATACTGGGTGATGCCCAGATCGATGATGGCGTGAATTTTATGATGGAGGTGGATTTGTTATAAAACCCTAGAGAGAGAGTGACGAGAGAGACGATGGAATAGGAGAAAGATGAGAGGAAATAGGTGAGAGGGTGAGAAATTATAGGAAATAGATAAAGTTGCAATTCTTATTATGCCCTTCTGATCATTTTAAAGTTACACTTTAATACCATTAGTTTTAGAATTTTTCATAAATAGTCCATTTAATAATACCTTAGATCTAAGTATTTGAATGGTTCAGATCTGTTCTCGCGTTCTCAACCTTTTAGGTGTTCTCATTTGATCCTATATATATATATATATATATATATATATATATATATATATATATATATATATATATATATATATATATATATATATATATATATATATAAAAGGTATTATCATCTTTTCATATTATGTAGAGACTAAACGCGTAACAAAAACGTATAATAAAAACTAAGCATGCAATAAATTTGATATTTAAGGACTCTTAGAAACTAACTGTACAGCACGATACCTTGAGGACCATTCGGGTAATTTACTCTAAAGCTTATTTTCAACCTTGTATTATATCATGTCAAAATAGTAAGCTAATTTGTTTTAGTCTGTGTAATTAGGGAAAATGAATAGTAAACTGCACTTGCTTAATTAAAAAGGAGAATGAGAGGGAAAAAATGATTCTATAAGTAATAAGAAAGACGGTGAAAGTTCCAAATTGGTTTCGTTTTGAAAAAGGCTCGAGTGCTTCTCTCTAACAATTCCTTTCGACAACAATGTATGGATTTTTTTCGAGATTGCCATCGATTCAATCTGCAATCAGCAAAACTAGCGTATGTCGTTACTGGCGATATGCATTGGATCCTCGTTGGCTATACTTATCACAGGTATCATAATTATAACATTCAGTTTAGTTTTAGCGATTAACACTCACGCCGGTGGTGAAATTTACAGAACCTCCGCCGTGTTGTAGCTACAAGGGATACTGTAACTGCAGAGGATGCTGCGACTAAATCTGCAGAGGAAATTGTGGACGAACGAGTACCTGAACATCTTCTTCATTCTAAGGTGTGTAAACATTGTCAATCAATTTCGTTTGATTTTTGTTTAGATTTACTGATCAATAATTCTGACAACGATAAGCTGAGTTTCATGAGAAACGATCACAATTAGCTTTGATCTGGACAAGCATGATCGATTCAGTTAGGTTCGACTTTGTATACGTATGTTAATTTGAGAACGTAGTTTCATGTTCTATTTGATAAGGTTATTGTCAATTAGGTATGGTATATGCGTCATAGTTCATGATTTAAACACATATATACATTGAAAATCATTTTGTGTGTTCTATATATTGATGCAGATGCATGATTTGAAGTTTGAATTGATGCTGAGGAAGAAACAACAACTCTACAAACCTTCAAATGTAAATTATTCTAATTTGATCAAACGCTTTTCGTTATTACATGACAATTTCAGGAACTTAATTGCTGAAAATAATGTAAAAGACTTGTTTAATTATACAATATTTAGACAAATCCAATACTAAACCTAGCTAGTAATTTGTATATCGTTTTCATGTTTTTTTGCAGGCAAACACAGTTTTTCATATTGATATCAGGGATTCGCGTAAGTCGTATTCATATTCTATGTTCCAATTTACCCTTCCAAATAAAAAAAAGAGTTACTGTATATGAATTAAAACTACCATTTTAATGGTTCATTCTCCTAATTTTTACGAAGACAATTTCACTGAATATTGATGAGATACATAAATACGGTAACTACATAAATTTTTAAACAACAAAACACAGTCATTAACTATCCATCCACATGAAATGTATGCTTTACTAGCTTGTACAATGGTTGTAAAGGTATTGTAATTCATATGGATAGATCAATGAAAATATCAACTCCTCATGTCCTATACAAATTTTATAAATGGTGTTACATAATTAAAAAATAAGATGTATCTTTAAATTGTTTTGTGACCATTTCTCTGTTTTTGTTTTAGTGCTTGCACGTGCTATTAAAAGTGGCTATATGTGTGACCACGGTATAAAAGATAATCGATCAACATCACATCATCCTTGCTTATTTTTTGGAGTTTGAGAAGAAACCATTTCAACAAAGGAAATATGGTGAATACCATTTAGCCAAGACACTACGAAATAGTAAGTATTTCATAAGCACGTGGAATTTATATAAAATATTGTGCTATATTAATTAATTAATTAACATTTTTGTACACAGCTATGAATGCCATACTTGAAAATGGTTCCAGGCCTATCAAGGATGTTGATAATGGTTGGTAAGTTATGCTGTCAATCTATAAACACTAGTTACATTTATAATAATAATAAAAAAAAAATTATAATATTGTTCGTTGGTGTTGCAGGTTCGCCCGATGGGTTCGGAATGGAGATCCACCTATGCTCTAAATACCTTGGTTCATCTATGTGTTGAAAAAAATTACTTTCAGTCATACGGTACCTTTATATCTTACCCATAATGTTAGGGCTAAATACTTTATATAGTGTTTGTGTCAATAATAATGAGTATGTGTTCGTGTGTCTTTTATTACTTTTTTAGAAAATTGTTTTTTTTTTTTTTGTTGTTGAATTTTACTTGCGTGGGTGATTAAGGAAAAAAAAAACTAAAGAAAACTAAAAATCGAGAAGAAAAAGCTCAGGAGAAGAAACCAAAAATAATGGATGACTTTTTTTCCAAAGTCAAAACGCATTTTCAAATTTAATTAACCTTCTAGCGGGTACATTACCTTAGTGGGTAACGGTTTCAAAATATCGAGAACGGGCTCGATTCCAAAGTATAGGCACTGGAATTGGAACTGGAATCGGTCCCGTCAAATGGGTTCCGTTCTCATAATTGTCGGTTCCAAACCGATTCCTGGCCAAAGACGGGTACGTTATCATGATGCTCATGCCTAGCCACCTCCATATTTTTTTTTTTTCGATATATCTTTACTACTTATAAAAGAAATCTAACTATTTCTATAAATAGATTGAATATAATAATATTATTTTTTTAAGACGTCCAAACTATTAAGCTTGAAGTACAACCCATTTATAATATAATAATATTAAAACTTTAATCTTATCCTTTATCCCCTAAAAATCTCGTATCAAGTTAATAGAAGAATTTATTTGCAAATTGAACCCGTCAATCTCAACACTTCAGCCATTTGAAAATGTCAATGTCAACAATTTATAGAGGATCTCTTCTCTTACATTGGTAACAAGTCATCTCATAATATCTATCTTCGTAATCCCTTCAAAGTAAGAAATATACGCACACTCTCTCGAAGAACCCTAACCAGTAACCAAGACAGTATAACCACCACCACCACAGCTGCTCTGCCTCCTTCCGCCTTCAACCAACCACTATCACGACTACCGCCCTTCATCTCACCCACGACGTGAACTTTCTTTTGGAACATAACATTTTTCTTTAAAAAAATATCGTTGAAAGAAGCTATTTGTCCCCGCCGCTGTGCGCGGGTAATGGCTAGTATATATATATATATATATATATATATATATATATATATATATATATATATATATATATATATATATATATATATATATATATATATATATATATATATATATATTCACTGACCTTTTATTTTATGTTTTTCTACTTTAGTACTTTTTCTTTTATGTATCTATTGTTATTAACCCTTAATTTTATAAAATAACATTTTCACCCTCTACTTTTTAAAATGTTATTTTTACCCATCGATTTTGAACTTTGTAGATTGTCACTATTGCCCATTTATTTTCTAAATTTCCTGTGTCTATCCTTCCTAGTATACATAATATGATTTTCCTATGTTACCACCCTTCAACTTTGTAAATTATCACTTTAACCCCCTTAACTTTAAACTTTGTAAAATGTATCTTCACCCTTTCGTCGTTGTAAAATTTCATATTAATCATCATCCACAAATGATTAGCATCCCTTAACTTTGTAAAATATCGTTTTGACTCATTCGCCTTTAAACTTTGTAAAATGCCACTTACCCTTTCAACTTTGAATTTTGTATAATCATATTTTCGTTATTAACTTTTGTTCGTTAACTTAAGAAAACTAATTTTTAACGTTCTTATTTTTATGTTTGAGTTGGTATAAATTCGAAGTTGTCAACATTTCGTCATAAATTTATAATTTTTGTTCGTTAATCTAAAAAAAAAAAAAATTTAAGTACGTATCATTATAAATTCAAGTTTGTCCACATTTCGACGCAATATTTTTTTTTATGTTTTTGTGTTTATTTTTATGTGTGCTTCCTACTTATAAGTCAATCACATATAATACGATTTTGATTATTTTAACTTTCGTGTGTTAACTTTATAAAAAAAAAAATCTTGCCTATTTCTATGTATGTGTTGATATAAATTCAAGTTTCTTTACGTTTTAATTTAATTTTGTATATGTTTTCATAATTACTTTATAAAAGTGTCTTACGTATAAATCCGGTCACTTATAATACATTTTCATTCGACTGTATAAACTGAAGTTATCTAATGGTACCGACCTTTATATTAATCTACCAACGGATACAACAATATCTAACTTTTATCAATAAAATCGTTAATATTCAACTTAAACTCATTTGTCACCACAATAGGCAACAAGTAAAATCTTAGTTAAAATTTAAAAATAATGTGTGCAGCTTCACACATCATGATTCAATGAAATTTTATTTGTTCAGTTATGTTATCTCTTCGTATATTTTAACATATTCCACAAAAATTATTATCGCGTAACCTCTTGTATAGGTTTGCAAATCGTACTAGGGAAGAATCCCGCGTTGCGGGGGTTGGAGGGTATTTCATAATCTTATTTAAAACAGGAAATAGTAACAAACTTTAAATGTTTTACATATACTCATAGGTTTTTCAACATACAGTGTCTTAATAAGAAAAATATCGAAAGTACAATGATGTAATAGAAAGAGTGAAAGTAGGATGCTACTTCTTGTATTTAGCCCTTTAAGAATCTGTAACATCAAATTGCAAATATTACAGATTTAAATGTGAAAATGAAACCAAGGGTAAATCCGTAAATATATCCAGCTAATAAGTTCACACGCTCTTTATGAGCCCTTAATACCAATTGTGTTGCACTGTTGTTTGTGTAAAGGATAAAAGCATACATCAGTAACCTAATTTACAATGAAATTGTTAAATTTTGATAAAATGATTCAATAACTTATTGCAATGTTGCCACCCAAGTTCGTGTGCCTTTTTATGATGGTTAAGAGTTTTTAATCACATACATTGAGATAAGATGTTGCAATTGCACATAGGTTTCAGAAAAAAGAAATGGAAAATAATTTGAGGATGAAATGACTAAAAACTAAAAAGTAATATGTTCTCTAAGCTAAATAAGAGTTTTTTTTTATTTTTATAATTCAATGATGTTTAGTTGGAACTTGGAACTATTTATGTTGAATATTCCTTGAGAATCTATGATTCAAGAATGTTATCCACATAAGTGATAGAGTTTGAAAAAGTCAAATGCATGGACTTCTCTCATAAAAGATTGTAATAATCTTATCTTCCAAAACATCAAGGAAAATCAAATTTGTTTTTTTTTCTTTTGCTGCAACAATGTTGATTCATTGTTCCCCTGATGAATAGTAATTGTGAGATAATTATAAATATAATCTAAATTAAGAAACTCTAAAGCACAGTACCTGAACCCCAGTATCCTTCACAAGCATCTACATTTCAATTTATAATAAAAATTTATATTATTAAACAAACAACTCTAAAGGGTAAAATAGTAAACTCCAATGGAGGGAGAGAGATGGAGTTAGGTGAAACCTGACAAATGAGGTCCTTTGCAGCTGCAGAAACTAACGGTTTGGAAGGGAACTTCAAATCTACTTGCCTTATCCTGCAAAATTGAGTCCAACAATCTGTATCAGATATATGACATGACAAACAGTTTTTGTTTAGAACAATTTATGAACATATTACATACCTTGGAAGATATTTTATGCCAAGCTATGGCTGATTACCTTTTCATGGAACAAATCTTGGAAACTGGTACTTTCCCATGTGAACATTGGATTGAAGTGTTGTCGATTATACTGTAGAAAGTGAATTAATTACAACTTTTGAGGAATAAATCATATGAAATATGAAGATAACAACTTATGACTTTATCTATAAGTGAGGTTATCAGCCCATTGGCGTAATCAGTCTATTGAAATCCACCAAAATGGCTCCACTAATGGCTTAACAGGAGCTTCAGAGATACTTGACCTTACTTCATGTCACCTTTCTGTTATAAGAGCTAATTTTTTTCTTCTTTTTGAAACCTGATCAACACTTGTAAAAGGAAACACATTACTCATTGTTCATTGTATATAGAAAAATATAGAGCCTAGTACAAAAGAGTGGGGTTTCAACTTTCATGAGATATGGGAAACAACTTTTATTACATCCTGCCATAAGCCAAGTACTCAACATGTATGTGGTTAACTGTTACAACCCAACAACAACAATTAAGAAGGTGAAGCTATATTCTGAAAACTTACGGATTGTGAATACTGATGGAGAATTTGATCTGAAAAAACATATGAAAGTAGTATGTAGTAAGTTTTTTTTTTTATCTCCATGGTTCTCAAATTCAGAAGGCAATTTTTTGTGAAAATCATCGTGCCCCAATCGATTTCTGTCAAGCAAAAACCAAACACACCAATCGATTTCTGTCAAGCAAAAACAAACAAACACCCATGGATTCCATGTAAAACATTAACCCCAAAAATCCATTTCATTCATAACTTTTTGTCAAGAATCAATCCCAAACACCTGCTTAAGCCTATCAATTTCTATCAAAAAGAAGAAGAGGAAGAAAAGAAGTATATGACATGTGAGCATTCGACCAAGCCACCACCGGAGCCCCCTGTTACCACCTTCGTCCTTCCCCTGCTTCCGTTCATCTTCTTTCCTTCGGTCCTTCGGTCAGGCAAGAAACCGAAAACCCATTTTGACTTGTACCCTAGTTCTTATACACGACCAGTCAAAGAACATAAACCCTTTCCCCTGGCACCACTTTCTTCCCCTCCCGTCGAGCTTATTGATGATGGGGCAATCATCAACATCGTCTCCGCCAGTGGGTCGGTTGGGTCCCGAGGAGAGTTGATTTCAGCGGGTTGTTGTAATCAGGCGTTGGTGACAGCGAAGTAGGTTGCACCATATGTGTAAATGATGGTGTGACGTCGGCGGTGACATCTAGGGCTCGAGTTAAGGCGGAGCATTTGAGGCAGTGGAAAAGGAGGAAGAAAGAGCTTTTCTCCAAGGAGCACCAGAGATAAGAGGAAGTGGAGCGGGAAGGGAAGATCAAGTGGGAGGTGATGGAATGATCGGGAAGACGTAGTGGCTGCGACATCACCAAAATCAACGTAAAAAAAAAAAAAAAAAAAAAACCGATTACATTTATGCTTTTAAAATAACTTTAAAATAAATTTATTGATTTAAAAGAGTTGCGGAATTTATCCCCAAAACAATATATGATAAAATAAGGTTTATCAAAGCATTTCTTAAAGAAATGTATTTTCATAATATATCAAAACTCAGGATGTTATGTTCCGATACAGACACAAAAACATAAACAATAAAACATAGACCTTACACAGTTATATACAACTACGGGTCTATAAACAATAACACATTCACAAGTTCTCCAACTTATACTCTCGCGCCACTACCTGTAATACAAAGAAACTGAGTGGGTCAGGCTTGGGATCCTGGTGAGCATATAGGGTTTTCAACCCACAATAAATAAGTATATTTAATTTCACCAACCAACAATAACCCGATTACCCGTTCCCGTTATCCTCACTTTACGTCCCTATGACAAGGGACCTAATCTACGATTTTCATCGGGACGGACATTACTACCAATGGGTTTCCTCGACAATAGATGTCCTAAAGGCAACCATGAGGGGATAGAATACAACAAATGAACATCCAAGTTTACTACACCTACAGGTTATGAGCCTGTCAGCGTTCCACTGAACTGTCTAGAAAAGTTTATGGTCGGTCGTCATCCATATTCTACTGGACGACTAGAAAACAATCACATCGAGGTCTCTCATCAGTTTATCACACATCAACTATCTACCCAAGTTTTACCTAAAAATTTTGTAGAAAACTACATACATATGCATTCATATGCAACTTAAAAGCTGATAAGATACTCACTCAATACTCATTTCAAATAAACAGATAACATATATACACGTAACACGTATTCTAAAGTAGATATTTCATATCAATGTGTTAGAAGAAATGGAATATACACTCACTTGATCAGAAGATGATCGGACAACACTACGGCTCTAAGAGTAGTATTCCTTCAGTGAAACCGGGAGATATTCACAAAAATCGGGCTTCTCGCGGGTAGAGTTTCGGCTCCGAAACTTTACTTCTCAGGATCCTCGGGGCTTCGGGACTCGCTTCGGGTCTCAGGATGATATCGGGGCTTCAGAGGTATAATTTACACGTAGATCAATGTAATAAGGGTGAGAGAGAGAGAGAGAGAAGAGATTTGGCAAACACAAACGATTTCCCTTTGTGATCTATTTATAGGGTGAAGTCTGTCGCGAACGCTGGTGTTCCCTTCGAACGCGATGCGTAGGAGCGGGGTTCCGATCCTATCCCTTATCCGTTGAGTCAATGACGTGGCCAATCCGGAGCCAAGCACTGAACACGGGGCGTTCCCCAATTGAACGTGGGGCGTTCCCTCTTTGGGATGCGTGCCTCAAACTTCAAAAATTCATAAACTTCGCATACGATCTCCGTTTTCAACGTTCTTTGTATCAACGCATAAGTGATATTATGCTCTACAACTCTTGTTTAGACTCTGTCGGCTAGTTTTCACTTTATTTTTATTATATTGTTTTTAGTAGGCCGGGACAGGAAAACTCCATTAGAAATTCATAACTTCTTCATCTGACTTCCATTTTCTTCTGTCTTTCTTCCGTTGCACTACTATTGACGAGATCTTCGATTCTCGTTTAGATTGTTTCGGCTAGAAATCATTCAATCTCAAATCCAAACTTCGGGCTGCATACCGCTAATTCGAAACTTAGAAAAATCATAACTTCAACATACAAAGTCAGATTTAGACGTTCTTTTTATGTACGCTTTCGGTTTAATATATTCTACGACTTTCGTTTAGATCACTAAGGCCAAATATCGCTCTATCGTAAATTCACTATTTACGTCTTGCAGTGTCGCGCCGGCTCTGTCGCGAAACTTCTACAGGTCATAACTTCTTCGTTATAACTCGGATTTCGGCATTCTTTATATATTCGGAATCCTTCTCATGACCACTACGTCTTCATGCATCGATATAGGTCTTATCAAACATTTTATTTTATCGCTTATATTTATCCTTAATTCGTTTAAGTCACACAATTAAGTATAAAACACATAATACTCAAATAATACATTCTTATTATTTCAAAATGGGTTACAAAGGTTAACTTAGACTATTACATCCTCATTAGTGCCTAGCCTGGAAACGTGGGCGTTACAGTGCTGTTGAGTCGGTAACACCAACGTATAACGGTGGACAACACATCAAAACACGTAGATTTGAAGATAACAGGAAAGAGAAAAGCCTCCAACACATTAAAAAATTGTGGTTACAACAAAGTAAATGGAAAACCACAAAAAAATGGTCCAATAGGAAGCAAGTTTTGTTCACCAAAGAGTTTAGAGCTAGTATATTATATAATAGTTTGACAAAATCCATTTTTACAATTTTGTAGAAAATGATATATTAGGATTTAATGGTAAAAGGTAGGATTGCATTATATATATATATATGTATGTATATATATATATATATATATATATATATATATATATATATATATATATATATATATATATATATATATATCAAGGTTGCAGAAAACGCTAGACGTTAGCTAGGCGGTGGACCGGAGTCTAGGGATTAATCGGTTAGACGAGGATTAATCGGGGGAGTAATCGGGGACCATTAATTATTAAAAAAATAATTCAAAAATTTATAAATCTAACTATAATACTAAGAATATAAGTAAATAAACATAAAAGTTTAATAATAACTTAATAAGTTTAACAAGCACAATCATTTATCATCCAAAATAAGCATAAAAGTTTAATAATAAGTTTAGCAAGCACACAAAATCATTATCCAACAAGTCCATAAAAGTTTAATAGTGAGTTTAACAAGCACAACAATTTTCTTCTAATATTCTCCACATACTTTCATTATTTGAACCCCATGTGACTCATATTCATCTTCTTCTAACACTTGCTCCTCACTCTCGGACTCGAAATCTTCATTGAAAAGTTCCCTCGTTTTTGGACTTTCTCGGGGTGCTTGACTAACATCGGTTGCAAGAGCTTCATCAACTGTTATAAAAAAACTCACATTAACACATTAAAATTGCTCACTCAAATCAACATGTTATGTATCATATCAGTTTATCATCACTTCATCTAATATATCATCACATTAACACCATATTCATATCAATTTAACACATTAAAAAATCACATTAACACATTAAATATACTCACTCACATATCATTTTAACAGAAAAATTAAGTACATCATCACATTAACAGCAGATTCATATCAATATATCATCACTTCGTCTAATATCATCACACATCAGTAGGCTCTGTATATACTTCATATTAATTTAACAGAAATTAGGAGAACCAAAAACAATCAAAAACTGTAAAATTCAAAGAAGCTTTCACACTCTAATAACCAGAATCATCAACGATGACAAAATTCAAAGAAGCTTTAACTTTATTCATTTCTATAACCAAGAACAATCAAAAAAAGAAACTAATATATGAACAGATATTGACTATAAGATGCAAAATTAACATAACCCAAGTGAAAAGCTAAGCTTAATTAAAGATCTAATCAGGGCGCCTAACTCCGCCTAGCTCCGATTAGGTCCGGCTTTGACCAACTTTGACCCAAAACGATTACATAGGCCGATTAGGTATAAACGTAATCGGTTGGCGACCGCCTAGCGCCTAGGCACCGATTAATCGGCCGCCTAGGCCGATTTTTACAACACTGATATATATAATTAAGTTCAAATGAGAACACTAAATAAAATAAGTACGTGAGAACATCATTTGTATGTTATTATTTTTCTTTGAATTTAAAAGTATAGTATTGTAGTAATTACGATGTGAATATATTCAATTTTATATTATTCTATTACAATATATATATATATATATATATATATATATATATATATATATATAATTTACTAAATTTTAATGTGAATGTTAATATTTGATTTTTATATATTCGTTGATGAATAATTTCATAAAGTTGTACATACAAAGTTTTAATGTGAATATTAATGTGTGATTGTTCATATATTTGTTGATGAATCATGTCATAACGTTGTATATACAAAATTCATAGTAGAATAATAACATAAAGTAGTGTTTTCACGTTCTCACTTTATTTAGTGTTTTCATTATATATATATATATATATATATACAAAAAACGAGTCGAGTTCAAGCCCGAGCCGAGCTTGTATATTTCTTTACAAGCTCAAGCCGAGCTCAGTAAAAGAAATCTTGAATCGAGCCTCATATAACTTAAACGAGTCCGATTCGAGCCTGACCAAGCTCGGGCTCGACTCAACTCGTTTGCACCCTATTTACTAAAGACCCTAAATCTTGGGAAATCATTCATCCCAGTCTTGTTTCATCCTTTATTCTCGCCGCCTGAACTCTCTCTCTATATTGATTATCACTTTGAAAAACCTAATAGTCGTTCAACACCATAATCACATAGCTTCGAAAGGAACTAATCATTAGGAACCAATGTAAAATGGTCAAGAGGTTCATCATATCTTATCAAGGTAAAAGAGTCACAATAAAGAGTTTCCAGTATTGACTCCCTTTATCCTATCTTAGCCAGGTAAATCGAGTTTCTTCTTACATGTGTTAGGTTTTGTATACTACAACATCCTATGGTGAACATACAACCCTAAATACCATGAATCTATGTTTTCATTAATTATGCATGCAATGGTGTTTCCAAGGTATTAAGCCTATAACTAGCATGCAATTGTCATATACCATACAAAATACTAGTTAGGGTAACATACCTTTTATGTGGCTTGAAGTCTTGATGTATTTGGCCTTAAGAGCTTAGCCCTAATAGTGTGGAAGCCTCAAATGAAATCACAACACATCATGGATAAAGGTAGAGCTTGAGAGAGAATTTCATGCACCCAAAAACACCCATGAACTCCAAGAATAACTCTAGTGGTGTTTTTGAGGCTAAGAGCATGTATTTATATGTGTGGATTCCAAGGGTCATGGGTATAACCCAAATCCATACCCATGGGTTTTAT